CGGCTTCCACCGCCGCGCCCGCGCCAGCGACCGGAGCAACGCGACCCAGCTGGACGGGCCGACCGGCGCCTTGCTGCTGCGCCTGGTGCAGCTGGCGGGGGCGCCCGAGCCCGCGGAGCCCGTCCCGCCCGGCGTCTACTGAGCCGCTCGCTCGCCCCAAACCCCCGAGCCCCCCGCAGCCTGGAAAAATAAACCTTTAAAAATGCACCCGCGAGTGTCTGTCTCCGTGTCCGGGGGTGGGGAGGGGGCGCAGAGGAGACGGTGGGGCGCGGACCCCCCTCCGTCACCCGCCCCAGCCAGTCCGCGATCCGCAGAGGGGAAGCGATCTTGGCTCGGCAGAGGGCTAGGGGGAACTAAGGACGGCGCGACCTGGGGGGCCCTGCAGGGGCTGGGTGGATCCTCCGGCAGAGGGACAGAAGTAAAGGCGAGGAGAGGGAAAGACATTGGTGGACAAGATGGCAGGAGAAGACAGAGGAAGCCCAACGCTGGAGAGAGCGACGTTGAGAGCGTCGGAGGGAAGAGTGAGAAAGGTCCAAGGGGAGCCAAAGGATGACCGGGGGTTCCCGTCTCCATTTACATCCCAGGAGACTGAGGCACGGCTTCAGGGACCCACCCAACTCCCCAGATTTCCAGTCTACTATTTCATCCAGGGCTGTGCTGTGTGTGTATGTGTGTGTGAGTTTGGAGGCGGGAGACAGCAAATCACCCCAGACCCAGCAGACAGAGGGCCAGGTACTATCTGTCCAGGAGGAAGTTAAGCAGCCCCCATGGGGGCCCTTCAGCCAGAGTGGAAGACAGAGCCCACTGAGACCCACACAAATCACACACACTAACACAAACACAGACCAGCAAATAATCATGAACTGCATGCCTTGGGATCCTTGACCACAGTTACAGGTGTAGACCCTGAGATACACATTCAGAGCCACAGACACACCCAGAGAAACACAGATACAAACAGACTCAACCATGGGTGGGCGCGCGCGCGCGCACACACACACACACACACACACACACACGGGCACACTCACATTAGGACCTTCGCCCTTTGACGCATGCAGCTTCAGGGCTGACATCCACTGGCATTTGGCCAATGCTATTCTGTGTCCCTATGTCCTTCTTTGTCCCCTCTATTCCTTTATCCCCTTTGAGCCTCACTCCCCTCCCTTCCCCCATCCCCCAGCTCCTTGGCCCTCTTTTGCTTCCCTCCTTGTCCCATTCATCCTTCCCTTCCTCTCTCTCTGCCCCCTCTGTTCTCAACATCCTGTCCTTGGGCTTTCTTGCTCTAGGCCTTGGGGCTACAAGAGGCTGCATCTTCTCCAAAATCCTCCAGGGACTTAGAGGCCAGGAGGGAGGGCAGGCAGAGAAGTCACTCTGAGCCCTGATGCCAACACCCTGCCTTAGGGCAGAGTGGCATGACTCAGCCTCCAACAGACGTGGCCAGGGTCCTGGTGCTAAGCCGAGGTCAGGCTCTTTTCTGGTCTTAGAGCTCCGTTTGCTGTCACCCCTGAGCCTGGCTCAGTGCCCAGAGTGATTAAGTGTAGAGGGAGAGCAGGGGCCCTGTGGGCCTCAATCCCAGCCATGACCTCCTGCCTCTGCCCTGGTGTGGCCCATCCGGGGCCAGTCCCCAGGTCTTAGTAGGACTGGGGCAGGACCAGACCTAAGAGGAACTTAGTAACCCTTCAGGACACAAGGAGGTGGAAAGAGGCAGCCGGTTTGAATAAAAATGGATCATATGCCTAAATGTAAAACCTAAAACTCTAAAGCATCTTGAAGAAACTATGGGAGAAATCATTTATGACCTTGAGCTATGCAAAGATTTCTTAGCTCTGACACCAAAAGGAGAATCCATAAAAGAAGAAATTTGATATGTTTGGAATTCACCAAAATTAAGAGCTTCTGCTCTTTAAAAGAATGAAGAAGCAAACCACAGACTGGAAGGAAAGATTTACAACTCACAAAGCTTATCAAGGATTGATATCCAGAATGTATAAAGGCCTCTCAAAACTCCATACTAAGAAAACAACTCAACTTTTAAAAATTTATTTTATTATTATTTTTTAAAAAAACTGAAATTGCTGCCCTTCCAAATTGTACTGGAGGTCCTTGCTAATAGAGTATGACAGAAAAATCAATCGTAGCGATACATGTTCAATGATGAAGTTGATGTTGATAGTTTTCAGACTGGGGCGGTCTGGCTGGCTCAGTCGGTGGAGCGTGTGACTCTTAATCTCCCGGTCGTGAGTTCAAGCCCCATGTTGGGCTTAGAGTTTACATTAAAAACAACAACTATTGCTTTCAGACTGGAAAACTTTTGTCCTAAAGCTTCACACAGGGGCGCCTGGGTGGCTTAGTCGGCTAAATGTCTGCCTTCGGCTCAGTCATGATCCCAGGGTCCTGGGATGGAGCCCTGCGTCGGGCTCCCTGTTTAGCGGGGAGCCTGCTTCTCCCTCTCCCACTCCCCCTGCTTGTGTTCTCTGTCAAATAAATAAATAAAATCTTTTTTTTAAAAAAATGCTTCACACAGGGCGCCTGGGTGGCTCAGTCGGTTGAGCGACTGCCTTTGGCTCAGGTCATGATCCCAGAGTCCTGGGATCGAGTCCCACATCGGGCTCCCTGCTCTGCAGGGAGCCAGCTTCTCCCTCTCCCACTCGCCCTGCTTGTGTTCCCTCTCTCCTGTGTCTCTCTCTGTCAAATAAATAAATAAAAATCTTTAATTAAAAAAAAAAAGCTTCACACAGCTGTTGTTTTACAAATTAGTATTATTTACATAATCCATATGTCCTAATTTACATCATTTTTAACAAAGTAAATTTGGGGCATCTTTTCATATCAAAGCATTTACCTTTACCACAATCTTTCTGTTTTGTAGCTTTTGTTATGAGAAATTTCAAATATATGAAAAAGTAGACCCAACAGAACAAAAGTCCCTCAGGTCCACCCCCTCTTACCTTCAGTGATTATCAACAACATGGTTGCCTGTTTCACCTCTACCCGACCCTCTCCTCCCACCCCTGAATTATCTTGATGCCAATCCCAGCTGTCATAACCATTTCAGCTGTAAACATTCCAGTGTGCATCTCACAAGATTTCTTCTTAAAAACATGACCACACATAGCAGCATTCTTTACAATAGCCAAACTGTGGAAGCAGCCCAAATGTCCACCTATTGATGAACGGATAAAGAAGATGTGGTGTGTATACACGATGGAATATTATTCAGGCATAAAAAAGAATGAAATCTTGCCATTTGCCACAACATGGATGGAGCTAGAGAGTATAATGCTAAACGAAATAAATCAGAGAAAGACAAATACCTTAAGATTTCACTCATGTAGAGTTTAAGAAACCAAACAAACAAAGGAAACAAAAAGAGACAAACCAAGAAATAGACTCTTTTTTAAAAAAAGATTTCATTTATTTATTTGAGAGAGAAAGAGAGCAGGAGCAGGGGGAGCAGAGGGAGAGGGAAAAGCAGGCCCCCTGCTGAGCAGGGAGCCCGATGCAGGGCTCGATCCCAGGACCCCGGAATCATGACCTGAGCCGAAGGCAGACGCTTAACTGAGCCCCCCAGGAGCCCCAAGAAATAGACTCTTAACTATAGAGAACAAACAGATGGTAACCAGAGTGGAGGTGGGTGGGGGATGGGTGAAACAGGTGATGGGGATTAAGGAGAGCACTTGTTGATGAGCACTGGGGGATGTATGGATGTGGTGAATCACTGTTTTGTGCACCTGAAACTAATATGTTAACATACTGCTAACTGTTAACTATACTGGAATTAAAATAAAAATTAATTTTAATACTATAGTACATATTAATAACTGTATATGATAATATAATAATCTAATAATAATTAATTAAAAAAAAACATGACCGCAGACTGTCATCACACACACACAAGCTGCAAACCAAAACTCAACAATATATTAGTCTCATGAAGTATTCAGGCACTCTTTAAATTTCCGTAAGTGTTCTATGAGTGTACTCTTTGCAATTCGTTGATATCTGAGTCTTTTTCTTAAGGCACAAAAGAGAATTTTTTTAAAAAGATGAGAGAGAGAGAGCACAAGCAGGGGAAGTGGCAGGGGGAGAGGGAGAAGCAGACTCCCCCCTGAGCAGGAAGCCCGATGCGGATGTGGGGCTCCATCCCAGGATCCTGGGATCATGACTTGAGCAGAAGGCACACACTTAACAGACTGAGCCACCCAAGCGCCCCAAAAGAGAATTTTTTTTTTAAGTAAGCTCTACTCCCAACTCCCAATGTGCTGCTTGAACTCATGACCCCAAGGTCAAGATTCTCACACTCCACCGACTGAGCCAGCCAGGCGCCCCACAAAAGAGAGTATTGATCCTCGTTGCCCTTCTACCTTTTTAAATTTTTATTTTCTTACCTTTTTATTTTCCTGAACTTCTTGTAGGGAATGGGTTCCAATCTCTTTTTATTATATTTGCTCTAAGTAGATGTAATTATCAGACAACTGTATTGTGTGCGTGTCACCTAAATAGGCTTGCCTATTTAGTCACATTTAAAGTAATATTTTGTACTAAATTACTTTCCTTTTCTATATCTTATTGCTCAGACTAATAATATGTTTTTTGAAATTGCGTGTAGGTGGGCATATTCTCTAGGAATTTCATTTCCAGGTAGTAGAAGGACAAAGAACAAAGCTATGCAAAGTGGGAGCTGGGAACCACCACCCTGGAAAAGCCCCCAAGCACTTTGGAGGGTTTTTTTTTTTTTTAAGATTTTATTTATTTATTTGAGAGAGAGAGACACAGCGAGAGAGGGAACACAAGCAGGGGGAGCGGGAGAGGGAGAAGCAGGCTTCCCGCCGAGCAGGGAGCCCGATGCGGGGCTCGATCCCAGGACCCTGGGATCATGACCTGAGCCGAAGGCAGACGCTTAACCACTGAGCCACCCAGGTGCCCCCACTTTGGAGGTTTGAAGGAGTCATTCCAACAAGGACCAAAGGCTGTGGGACTCCACAAGCCAGAAGAAGGAAGAATGACAGCAAGCTCGCTTCTGTGCTGGTCTGGCCACTGGACCCAGCTTGATGTCACCTCTGGGACATACCCGGGAAAAGCCGTGTCAATCCGACCCTGTGTTTTGGGGCCGGAAAATACTGTTCACCTTTGTAT